CCCCCTTTAGGGTTTGAGGTTCGTCCAACGCGCTGGGTTTGGGGGTTCGCCGGACTCGCCGACCAACATCTTCTTTTCAGCTTTCCGGTTTGCCAACCAACATTTGCTTTTCGGGGGCTCAGCAGCCGTTATCTTTCTGAAGGGGCTTGGGCATAGGCAACCAAAGTTTTTTATTGAATTAAAGGTTTTGTCTTGAAGGTTTTGGGTTTGCCACCCACGATCGTCTGCTGAGGCTTGGGGGTTCTGCAAACATCTTTCTTTGAGGTTTGGGCTTTGCCAACCAACATCTCCGTGTAGGGTTTGGAGTTGGCAGGTTGCCAACCAGAATCTCTGTTTAGATTTGGAGTTTGCCAAACAATTCCTTTTCTTGCAGGGTTTGGGGCTTGCTACCCTTGATTGGATTGTAGGGTTTTCGTTTGGGGCTTGCCAAGCCAACATCGCCTTTGCAGGTTAAGTTTTTTGGGGTTTAGGGTTTTTGCCACTCGGACTTTCGTTTTCGGGTTTGGGGGTTCGTCACCAACAACATTTCCTGAGCTTTTGGCTTTGTGAAGCTCATGTTAAGATTGGGGGCGGGCGGTGGCAAGAGTTTTCGGGTTTTAGGGTTTGCCGACTACGTTTACGGTTTGCCAACCAACATGTTCTTGTTTAGGGTTACCAGCATCCCCCTTTAGGGTTTGAGGTTCGTCCAACGCGCTGGGTTTGGGGGTTCGCCGGACTCGCCGACCAACATCTTCTTTTCAGCTTTCCGGTTTGCCAACCAACATTTGCTTTTCGGGGGCTCAGCAGCCGTTATCTTTCTGAAGGGGCTTGGGCATAGGCAACCAAAGTTTTTTATTGAATTAGAGGTTTTGTCTTGCGGAGGTTTGCGAACCAACATCTCCCTTTGAGGTTTGGGCTTTGACAACCACCGTCTCCGTTTAGCCTTTACCTCCGCTTACATTCTGGGTTTGCCAACCAATTTTTCTTTTAGGGTTTGGGGTTTGTCTCCCACGATCGTCTTGTAGGGTTTTGTTTGGGGTTTCGGGTTCGTCACCAACAACATTTCCTTGCAAGCCTTGAGGTTTGCCAACCCCACGTAGAGTTCGGGGCGGTGGCAGCCGTTTTCGGGTTTTGGGTTTGCCAATTACGTTTACGGCTTACGGTTTTGCCAACCAGCATCTCCGTCTAGATTTTTTAGGGTTTGTGATCCGTGGTGTGCGCGTTTCTACAGTCTAATTTTACGCTGTTGCATCATCGTGGCCAGCGGTCATAGATTTTATTAGTGGTGCTATAAGTGCATGCAAGGGAGTATGCACCTCGTCGGAGACTTGGTTCAGGAGTGGGAGCTTCCTGAGCTGTTCAAGATCATGCTTAGGCATTGAAAGGTTTCAGTGTGTGGTGTGTGAGTGTATGAGTGTATGTGTGTGCCTGTGTACACTCGTGTGTTGATCAGATGAGGTCAACTTTGTTGAACGTTCACCTTGATTCATGGAAGCGGCTGGGCCAGGTGCATTGGCTTTGAGAATGAAGCCGGGGCACAGGAATCGGGTCTTGGGAGACGTGCCTTCTCAGGTGGTGGCTTTTCTCTCGGTGGTCTCTCCAACCAGCTTCATCAGGCCACCAGGGGCAAAGTCGCCACAGTTTGCCTGTTCGACATCATAGGAGTTCCAAGCTTGTGGGTCATCCTCGCAGCGATTTTCCAGCAACTGTCTGCCCGGCTTGGATTTGTGCTTTGCTTGGTTTTTGCTTCAGAGTCTGTCGTGCTATGCCAGACAAAGGCCGTTAGAAACGCGCCATGCCGAATACCGATAGTCGAGGAAGCAGAAAAAGCTTCGCAGTGGCAATGCCATGCAAGTACAAAACAGCTCAGGCAGGCATGGAGAATTCTCAACATCTTGCCATGAATACCAACGAATAAGCTTCGGCTTCAGTTGCAAGACTAAAGCAGGAGAACTTCCTTCCAAGATGAGACGTCACAAGCCGCATCCGAGCATCCGAAGATTGGAAGAACAGAGTTATTCGGCCTGAGTTACCATAAAAACTCAATTCTCAGCGTCGTACAAGAACTTCTTCCGGAGAACTGCAGATTTGCCTTCGAGCTGCCGGAGAGTTTGTTTCAGCAGAACAAACCGGGACGGTGTAGGTGGAGGAAACATGGGAAAAGACACACGCGAACTCCCCGACGAAGGCGCCAAGGAGCCCCAGTGATGACTCTGTCGCAGTGAGTTGTTGCGACTAATGTCGACCTTGCACGCCGAAAGGTTGACAAAGCAAGTCCCACGTCCCAGAAGCAAACCCCGCTATGAAGACCAACGCCGACAAGTTTGCGTTGAAGCCGAAAACATATTTGTTGAGACACCAGGAATCAACCGGGGAAGTAAGCCGATCTCCTCAGGAAGCTGATGGGAAGATCAAAACAAAAACAGCAAAGATGACAAGGCTGCTTCACGTGCAGTCTTCCAGAGCTTTTATGGGAAGGTCTTTAGGGCAAGTATCAGTAGAATCCACTCTTCCGAGCCAGACGGTTTGATATCGATTGCCAGAACCTCGAACATTCGGAGGCAAGTTCAGCAACGGAGTAACGAATATGGCCTCCCCTTTGGACAAGTCTTCGCCCCTTCCACATCTGAGCCCATGATCGGCAGCATCAAAGAGCGAAGACCAACCAAAAAACTACGTGAATCCAGTGCCAGTTGGTAGATCGCTCTTGAATCTCCGGGCTTCCGCTAGAATCTAAGTGTGGAGTTTGGGAGGTCCAAGTTTTGCAACCAGCAGCTCCAAATGTAATGATGGAACGTCACTGAGAATTTAGGAGAACAGATAGTGGAGACTTGCATGCTGGCTGGTCCATGCTTGGCTCGGATCGCTGGGTGTGGGCTGCGTGCCACGAATGTGATGCAAAATTAAAATCAAAACCCTGCAGAAGAGTACAGCCTCGTGCTTGATGGGGATGCTGTTCAAATGCACGTCAGCTTGCCAGAGAGCAAGCACTGCATGTGCACGAGCTGTATTGTAGCTTAGTAGCCTTGTCGAGTCGCCTGAACATTTCCGCCATGCATGACAGGGGCTCATCTACATGCCGCGTGACGTGACTTGCGCATCAGAGGTGGCTTCTTGTTTCCTGCCTCCAATGTTACAGGGCTGTGTCTGCATAGAGCTGCAGGCGGCGGTGACTGAGCTGCTTCTAAGCCTGAAGAGGCTGAATGTTGCGGCCAAGGCCGTTAAGCTCAGCTCATTCTGAAGATGTGGCCTGGTTGTTCTGAAGGCATGGCCTGTTGGCCCAAGGAAGCTGACAGCTTCGGACTTGCTGCACTCGCTGAATGTGGCTGGTTTAGTTGTTCAGGAGCGACTCTGATGATTTGAGACGTTTTAGCAGTTTAGCACAGCCCCTGAAGGAAGCATCCGTGTCCAGGTTCATCGAGGCGGGTCGGAGCCTGGAAGACTCCAGGGGCTCCACAGGACTCTGTAGACTCTGAAATGCCTAGGTCCAAGGTTTCTACAAACCCGCTGCGTGAAGCACCGCACACAGCAGTAGCTGCCGATCAAGCACTTCCTGCAGTGTAATACCCTTGATGCCCATTGCTAGAAGTTCAGCTTTTTTCCGTGATTGGTTCCCCCGAGCCCGTGCAAGACGTGGCTGGAGCCACGCATTGCCATGGAGATGTCGGTCGCAACGTCACATCCCGTAGCAGACGCGAGATTTCTTTGAGAGGCGCTGACGGATCTGGGCCTCGTCGAGGCTGGAGAGGCGGAGTGAGACGGATTCAAGCGGGCTTTTGCTTCTGCGCGCTTGTGACTAAGGTAGTGGCAGATCCCAGGCGATTCCCGTGGCAGAGAACGCTGGTGGCCTTGCGGGAGCGTTCAAGGTTTTGTGGTTGTTTAGCTGTTCGCTTCGTGTAGTTTGTTATCCAGCGTTCCGAACCCGATTCGACTTGTCGGGTAGTGGTGTTTCGAATCGTCGAGTTGACAGAGGCTCTGCACGTTGAGCCTCGCCGGCGCTTGCATGCTGCGATGAAATTGGGAGCCTTATTCTGTATAGTCACACCGCTAGGTGATGGATGATGTCAGAAGAACACACCGTCGAAGCTGTTCTTTGTCGGCGTAGCTTACAACTTGGAAGGAGATGCGAAGCGAGGTATCGGCAGAGCATGGGCGAAGATGCGTGGAGGAGGGTTCTGAAAACCAGGGCACACCTGTGGTTGTCTAACGTCCATGAACACGGCATGGAAGGTGGATGCACGGCAGGGTGCACTGCACCAGTGCAGTTTTATGCGTTTTTTTGTGGCGAGCTGGGTAGACAAGAGCTGTTTGTGCCACATGGGCACATTCGCGCCCTGCTGTGCAGGAGTTGTTGAATCGAGCCTGGGCACAGCATGAGTTTGGGGTGGCCGAGATTGCTGAAGAGGCAGAATGATGTGATGCAGAACGTGAATGCACAATGATGGGCTGCTGTCAGGTCTTGGACTGGCTGTTGCAAATTAACGATGCCCGGCCAGTGTTCTTCTCGGACTCGGATCAATCACGACCAGGTCCCTAATCTGCACCTGCTCAGGTTGGCAGATCGCAAGATCTGTAATCCTTATTGTCCTGTCTGCACGCCGGAAGGGCAGGCAGCAGAAGGACAAGATTGCATTGCAGCTTCGTGTTGTTGTGATTCCAGGATGGGGGCAGGGCACAGGTTTACGGCCAGGGAATTCTGACAGGTTTCACCAATCATGTCGTGTGGAATGCAGCTTTTGCATGCCCATCCCTTATGGAGCGCAAATTGCGTAGTGCTGTTCAAGCTCCACATGGAGCAGCGTAGTGGCAGCCAATAGAGCCTGGGTTGCCCCATCTGCTGCCGCCAGGAGCCTACTATTGTGGTTGTGCTTGCGCAACGGCTTGAACTTCTGTTGATTTTCGATTGTTCAGGCTTGGGTGGCAGTCAACAGCCACCCCCTTATACTCGCACCCACAGCAAGTTAGGAACGCCTCCGCAAGAAACAGCAAGGCAGTGTGGGCTGCTTGTAACTCCAACCACATCTGCGTGCTATTTTGGCTCAGCGGTGTCCCTGTGGACTCTGCGACTTTGCAACACAGGCCCGCTGCTGCGCCTTTCTTGCTTCGGTATCACGTCACAAGCCGCAGGCACAATGGGAGGCTTGATCTCAGCCCCGCTTTCTGGCGCTGGGAGCCTTACCTGCTGTCCGCCTGTCGCGAGCAACATTCTGTTGGGTCGAGGCCGGCACGTGTCTTGGCGGCTGCTTTGGCAGCTGCCTTGCGACTGGCTGTTGCTGGATGCTCAGACATGCTCAGACGGTGTTACGCGCCTTGCAAAGAAGGCTTCGACCACTGCAACTCGCACCCTTGCAACTCGCATGTGGAGGCAAGTTGGCGGGCAGTGGTACTGCCTTTGCCTCAAACCGAACAGCCGACGTGGGTGGTGAAAACTTGTAGAGGTTTTGCACAAGATGCAATCACCAATGAGGTCAATTCTGTCAGGGCATCGAGATTTGTGTTGATTTGGCTGCAGGCCGCACGAGATTGTCAAACCTTCATAGGAGGTTGAAGTCGGGTCCCATGCTGCTTCCTTGCAGATCTTCACTGCAGCTTTGGCTTTCTTGCTCTCCGAGACCGCTGCCAGCTTCCCAGTATGCTTTGCATTTCTGCTCTCCGGTTCAATCTGTTACGCAGGAGAGATGGCTTCCGTGGACTTGCTCGAAGCTTGATCTGGTCGGTGTCGCCGGCGAGTTGTGACATCCGCTTCGTTTCAGCATTTGCCTTTGCCACTCGAGATGATGATCTCTGGAGGTCTAGGTGATCTCGGTGTGTGCGAGTGCCGGACTGCCGAAGGGCAGTGCTGGTCGAGCTCGCAGTACATGTTCACATGCTCCACACCGGGGCACCAGTCTGCTTTCTTCCCCTCCCGTCGAGGTCCGACCAGCTGATCTACAGGACCGAGGCCTCACCAAGGGCCTGTGCGAAACGCAGCGACGCCTCTAAGCAGTCCAGCTTCAGAGGCCTCTGGGACGGTGGTCTTTCTGGGCCTGCTTTTGATGTCCCTGAGCGGATGCGCGGAGGGAGCCGCAAGGCGCTGCGGACAGAGGGTATAAAATAGCCCACAAGGGATTCATCTCAGTTCGTTCAAGAGTTTTTTTTGGGTGTCCGGTTTCTACCAAAACAGCCAAGCTGGAAAGCACTGAGATCCAAGAGCCCAACTGTAGGGGAAGAATTCGTCCTTCGTGTGAGGGGCTGTTTGAGGGGCTGCTATACTGCATGTCGGTCGCTGCGAAGTTCAACCTGACACGAAACCTGTGTGTGCAAATATCGCTGAAGCGATGGCTGGGTTGGGCCCCACGTTTTTTTGGTTTTCTGCTCATGTAAATACATGAAGTTCAATTTCCCATCGGTTTCGCCCCTGAGGCAAAGGTTTCTTCCCTTGCCTACCCTGTTTTCAAGCTTAACTGCGGCGTGGTTTGATTGTGCATTTGCACAGAATCTTCAGCCGCTTCGTGGGAGGGCTGAAGGACCAGGAGGTTTTGATGCCAGTGTGAGAACCGCTCGTGTTCTTCTCGCAGGGCCTACTCCGTCGCCAAGTTCATGGCTGTGGCGCGGGGCTCGAGCCAACATTGGTGCAAGAAGGGGTGACGCCGAGCTGCATGGCTTGCATGCGTTGCCAAGGCTTGCATCATCTTTATCACACTCTTCCTGCCAAATCAAGCGCGGTGCCGAGGCTTTTGTAGCTTGTTCCCGCAAAGTCCAACAATTCTCAGGTCTGGGCTGGCTTTGGAAGTGCTGCGACAGCACTGTCTGCCATCTTCCTAGTAGCGCAGGCCGTCCTTCCAAGGATACTCATGTTGTACGGAGACACAGATCATGACTAATGACGGTTGTGATGATGGCGTACATGCCTGCAGTCGATTTTGCTGATCGATTTCGGGTACACTTGGAATGTGCAGCCCTTACTCAGCCCGAGTAGCCATGGACCACCTTCGTAGCAAACAGATATGTCCAGCTGAGGAGACCTGGTATGCCAATGCCCTCGAGGCCTCCGGCGTGCCAAGCTTCGCTTTGCTGTGCACAGCCGGCTGGCCATCCAGCCAGGCGAGACGACGAGAGATTGGCGCTAAAGGCTACAGGTTGGGTTTGGGCTTGTTGGGGCACCTCGTCTATGCGTTGCTGCATCAGCATTGGAGAGGCTTTGGGTTGGGGCCATGTTGCTCTCGCTACAAACTCAGAGAGTGCGGCAGAGCCCACTTTTGCCGACACGAGACATGACTCCAGCTCAGGTCAGCAGCCTTGGTTCTAGGCTGATTGGCAATGGTGCAGCTTGGGTAGTCGAGTTTAGCAAGATGTCTCTTTTTCGCGCAGGTGCGATCATCGGTTCAATCTACCTGTTCTGCATGTTCAAGGACGGATCAGATCAGGCTGTCTGAATTGGTGTCGCTCGGTGAAAAGCTCTGCAGGATGCTAGCAGCAGGGCTGTCAATGCATCTGCTATGATCTTGCCAGCGCCCATTTTGACGAGCTCTTTCGTTTTGCTCTCGTCTGGATACACCCTCGAAGTTGAGGTCCATTTCGCTGGCTGTGGTCAGCATCACCGACTGGTGTGAACATGGCTTCTGCCTCAGATGAGAACAAAAGCAGAAAGAGCAGCGCTTGCTGCCCGGAAGCGTTTCTCGGAACAGGTGCCCTGCTCACTTCGGCTGTCATCATGGCGTGAGCGCATGATGAATTGCAGTGGAACAAGTCTCGGCAAACATCCTCCATCTTCCTGCAGGTACACCGTGTGGCTTCTGTGCGAGTCTCTCGCTGTTCTGTTGCTTGCTCGCAGGAAGCTGTCATGCTAGGCTAGACTGTGCTGCAAGCAGTGGCACGGTCCGAAGGATATCTCGGAACAGCATCCATGCTGTTTGGTCAAGGCCTACTGGATCTCCACTGCAG